TATAAGAAATAATGATATACGTATTTTTGAATATCAGGATCAATTATTTTAGGGGAAAGAAGTAGGGCAAAGTGGAAAAGATTTCGTGTAACACGTTTCGTCCTTTACGTAGGACTTCATCAGACCAAGTTTCTGTTTACGTTAACAAAGTCCTAAACGACGAATCGTGTCATACGAAAAATGTTTCTACTTTGTTATACTTTTTACCTGAACAGCACACACACTCACACACACACACATATAGATAGATAGATAGATAGATAGATAGATAGATAGATAGATACGAACAGAATGAGACAGATAGATAATGAATAGTCTGTGACAGATAGATAGATAGATAGATAGATAGATAGATAGATATGAACAGGTTGCTGTAGATATATAGATAGATGTGAACAGAATGTGATAGATAGTTAGATATGAACAGACAGCGTTATATATATATATATATATATATATATATATATATATATATATATATATATATATTATTCAAGGATCTTTTTAAAACATATTCACTGATCTTTTGACGTTTCTTGAATTCATTTTCAAACGCGAACCCAGAGTATGAATGCTGGTACCATTACTGAATAATTTTCCCTCTCACCATTGCTCACGAGAGAAGACTGTGGGTCTGACACAAAACAATTGTAACGTATTCTCTTTTTAGCTGAACAACTCGCAGATGTGTGCCTACCTTCCCTGACAATGACTTAAAATGTCGAAAGTGCAGAGCGTATCACTTTTAAGTTTTCTTCCGAAATGAATTTTGAACATTTCTTGACAGAATTTCCTCGTTGTTTAAGAAGAATTCTTCACAATTTGGAAATGTCGGTAACTAAAATTCATCGACATAATATAACTGTCGTCTTCAGTAGAATTTCGTTGAAGGATATTTGTTGTCTCATTACACAGAGATTTTACCATTGGCAATGGTGCCTGCCTCAATAGCGTTTCCATCAATCGGGCCTCCATCAATCTAATGTTTTTTCCATTATAGGGGAGATATTTCTCTGAGGTATATATTTTGAGATATTTGTGCGCCACAACACCATATATATATATATATATATATATATATATATAATTATTTATTTAAAAATATGATTCCAACACGCTACATAAGAGTTCTCATGTCCCAAAACAAGAGCCGAAAACTTCAATATAATTATTTGAATTAAATTGAATTAAAGTACTAAGCTCTTTTCCATCTTCAAGCGAAATGTTTTTGAGAATAACTTATTTCTGCTTATAAAACACGTAAATTTCCGGAATAAGTTATTCAAAAAAAAAAGATAGATAGATAGATACGAAGAGACTCACTAGATAGATAGATAAATAGATAGATAGATAGATAGATAGATAGATAGATAGATAGATAGATAGATAGATAGATATGAACAGACTGATAGATACAAAGAGATTGACGTAGATAGATAGATAGAGAGATATGAACAGACTGACAGATACAAAGAGATTGACGTAGATAGATAGATAGATAGATAGATAGATAGATAGATACAGAGAGAGAGAAAGAGAGAGATTCAAGTATCTTCGAACTAAACTCTTTATTTAATCAACGTGGTAGATTGTTTTCCTCCTACGTTGCATGCTTAGGATAAACACCCTCTGCTCTTTTTATTTGATTTTGAACCTATTCAAGCGTCAATGTTCTTGAGATATTATTTTCGTTATTTATACATGAGGCTTTGTACTTGCCTTTCTTTTTATCATCTTAACCTTTCGGCCGTTATGCTCTACATCCTTCTACATATGTCTATCAATTCGGGTAACCTTCAGGGTTTTTCATACTGAACCCTTTATTTAATCTACCATGTGGATTGTTCTATTTACCGTAGGGATATACTCTCCTATATTTGTTTTTTTCATGTATAGCGAATTATCAATATTTACACTCGGACGAATGTCCTCATACTTGTTGTTATTATCCCAACATTGTGCTGGGTCGGCCGCTCTTTAATTATAGGGTTACGTGGCGTGACCGAGATTTTAAAAAAAATCTGTGCGTCAGCAATGCTGTGTTAGTTAGACGGCCTAAGCAACTTCGATTTTTGCGCAGAATTAAAGAGTGTCGTGTTTCAAGTCGTAATTTATTGGTACAGAGTGGTTACTAAGCAGGTAAGTACCGCTGTCATAGTCACCCTCCCCCGTCAATCACGGAGCTATTTTCTTTTATTCGGATACATGAGGAGGTGATGAAAAATTCTCTACCTGAGCAAAAATTCTTTCTAAAAACGCATTTCTCTGTGATTGGACATTTGGTCAATTTTATGAAAAAGTTTACATTTCATGAAGAACAGATTTAAAAAAAAAATAATGGAAGCCAGATGGTTTTAAGATTTTATACACGTGCACATATATATGTATACACATATACACACTCATATACATAAATACTGAGTAACTACAGAGAAATAAACAGACTGAGTATTTAGATAGGTAGATAGATAGACAGATATGAACATACTGAGCTAGCTCGCTAGATAGATAGATAGATAGATAGATAGATAGATAGATAGATAGATAGATAGATATGAAAAGACTGAACTAGCTCGATAGATAGATAGATAGATAGATAGATATGAAAAGACTGAACTAGCTCGATAGATAGATAGATAGATAGATAGATAGATAGATATGAACAGACTGAGCTAGCTCGCTAGATAGATAGATAGACATGAACAGACTGATATATATATATATATATATATATATATATATATATATATATATATATAGAGAGAGAGAGAGAGAGAGATAGATAGATAGATAGATAGATAGATAGATAGATATGAGTAGAATGAATTCGATAGACAAACGCACACATATATTTTGATTTAAGTTGTAACCTTATCGTTCGCGCCTTCATAATCATTTAGACGAGCTTTTTATGGATAATCAATAAATCTTTGCAAGCGGCCAACTCTTTCTCAGCCTCGTCCTTTCGAAGAGAAATTCAAATTTCGCAAATATTTTCGTTTACTTTATCATCTACACATAAAGAACGAAAAGAAAAGGCTCAAAATCGAAATAAAAAAAGGATTTTATTACATTTTTCGCCAATAAAAAATTGGTTTAATTTTAATGGAATTCTGTGATTTTCAATATAAACTTTTCTTTTCTTAAATTGGGTTCTCCTATTAAAATTAGGAGAGTAATGGATAGCGGCTCGGATTAAGGAATCGGTGAGCCGAGTTCGAATTCCAGTCGAGTTCATTGCATTCGCTTACGTACTAATACCCTTGGGAAAAGTAAGAATCCATATCTTCCTACCATCTATATGAATAGGAAGACACTTATACCCTAGGTTGAAAACCCACCTAGGAGAAAGATTCGAACCAGCCTGTAGAGGGTTGAACTCCGCCAGGCTCTCTTGCCCAGGAAACATCACTGCTATGCAGATTAAATGTGTTGCACCGACAACAGTAGAATGACAGCATTTGTGATCGTGATTACATGCAAAGTTTTTAGTGTCGTAGATATTAATTTACATAAATGATAAGTACTCTTAAGGGCCATAAAACGGTTTAGGTATAGGAAGATTGTGTTGCGCCAACCTTCAGAGTGAGTACAGTTTTTTCTTTTTATTTTTACTAGAATTCGAACGAAGCACATTCAAGTATACAGTTTTTAATTTCATTAAAAAAAAAAAAAGCCAAAAGCTTATTTTGACATGATGTAAGAAATTTACATTTAAAACAACTTTTAGATGAATATTTAACCCTAACCCTAATCCCAATCTTAACCTAACCTAATCCCAAACTCAATCCTAACTCTAATCCCAATCTCAATCCTAACCCTAATCCCAATCCAAATCCTAAACCTAATCCCAATCCTAACGCTAATCCTAATCCTAACTCGGACCATAATCCCAATCCTATCTCTAATCCCCATCCTAACCCTTTCCCTAATCCCAATCCTAACCTTAAACCTAATCCTAATACTAAACCTAACTTTAATCCCAATCCTAACCCTAATGCCAATTTTAACCCTAACCCTAATCTCAATCCTAACCCTTTCTCTAATCCCAATCCTAACCCTAACCCTAATCCCAATCCTAAGCCTAACCTTAATCCCAAACCTAACCCTAACCCTAATGCCTATCTTAACCCTAACCCTAATCTCAATCCTAACAATTCCCTAATCCTAATCCTAACCCTAATACTAACCCTTATCTCAATCCTAAACTTAATCCCAATGTGGATACGGATGAAAACTTATCAATTACAAAATGATATTATTGAGAATATAAGTTAGAAAAATAATTTCATAAGAGTTAGATATTCTTTAAACAATATTTCTGCAGGAGCACCAGGTGAAAAGAAAAAGGTTCGTCACAGTCGTTGCTATGAAAATATTAGTAGAAAAGACAGAGGGAAGCCACGTTACGTCAGTGAGAAAGTGACAGAAATCGATCTGTCTTGTCAGGATCGATTTCATTTCAGATCCTTCTTTGGATTTTGTCTAGAAATCTTGAAGAGCAAATAAATAAAGCAACAGTATTCAATTCACGGACAAATGGTAGATTTATAAATGTGCTAGATCGATATTGACGAGAAAAGATTTTCTGGCACGCCATCTTTATAAAGTAATATTTTTGTTTGTGTCTTGGTCGAATAGTGATTCATATTTTGATATTCCAACATATATCCCTTGAAGAAGTCTGGAGCGTACAACGGCCGAAACGTCGTAAATATGGTAATAAAGATGAGGACAACAATCCGAACAATGTAAATGATGTAAATAGTTACAATACCACATCTTAGAAATGTAGACAGATGATAGTGATTATCGTTGCATTTAAATTTTTGAAGATTGTAGTTATCAGGGAAGCAAGAAATCGGAAAGGAGTTTCACAGGTGAAAAGTGCGAGAAAAGTAACTGTTAGAGTAGAAGTAGCGGTTGCATCTAGTTAATTCAACATTAAAAAGAGTGGGACCTAATTGCCAATCTAGTAACATACTTAAACTCATGTAGTC